GGGGGGGGGAGAGAGACTACTACTTGCTATTGTTGCTTGCTTCTCATATACATTTGATCCCACTCCATGCAGTGATGATAAGGATAGGGAGTAATATTGTTATAAAGTCCTAAAACATATATTTGATGTAACACTACAAGAAGATGGATATTTATTCCAGGTATTATTATATATAATAATATAGCACCTAGAATCTCCATCAGCTCCGGCCCTCAAGGAGTGAAGGTTCCTCTCTCTCATATATACATATTAGTGCCAATATGGACAGCAGTCAATACACCTACCAGCATGTCACTGAGTGTGGGAGGAAACTAACATAAGCACCGGGAGAACATGCAAACTCCATGCAGATAGCATGCTGGCTGAGTTTTGAACCAGGGACCCCCTCGCTGCAAGGCAGGAGTGCTAACCACTAATCCATAGCGCTATCACCTGCATGTCACCACCAGCTAGAATTATGTTATTTTCTCTTCTTAAGCAAGAAATTAGAGCAAAAGGCTAAACCAATCTGATTATGGATTGCTGACAGATTGATTGATTGATTGATTGGGTGTGGATTATTGCAGTTTCCCTTATTAAATAAGACTCTGTAACAGGGGTGGGCAACTCCGGCCCTCCAGCCGTGCTTCTACCACAAATCCCAACGTGACTCTGCCTCTGGGAGTCAACTGTCAGTCCCGCAATGCCTCATGGGACTTGTAGTTCCACAACAGCTGGAGGACCTGAGTTGCCCTCCCCTGCACTTTAGGCTCAATTCACAAAGCTTCACACCGAGCTGAGGGCCTTTATTTTAGGCCATGTGACGGTTATTTTCATGTCTCATTGGGCACAACTAAAAAGCTCACTTCATAAATGTCCATTTTAAAAGAAAGATTTCTTACCCTGGAATTTTATGTATATTGTGTCCTGTAGGTGCGATTCACAAAGCAAACGCACCAGAATGAGTCCGGTTATTTTCCAGAAAGTGGCTGTTATTTTGTTATTTAAAGTGATATTAAAGTCGAATGTTTTTTAAGATACTTCAAATGCTGATGAGATCACTTACAATGGATGCTGCTCCTTGATGTTGAAAAGTTTTAGCTTCCTGTAGAATCAGTTGTTCCCCTGAGCACTGGCCCTGATATCCTGTTTTAGGGTGACTCCTTTCCCTTGCAGGGTCCTATGGAGCCACCCTTGTGTGTGCTAGTAAACTGCGTGTGTCTCGACAAACACACAGACATGACAAGGGAAGCCACTCCTAAACTTCCTGTTCCTCCCTCTACTTTTCTCCAAGCACTGTGTGTTTGTCTCCAGAAACACAGACACAGCAAGGCAAGCCGCTCTCTCCCCCTACCCCCCTGCTCTCCCCTCCTCTCCTCCTCCCTTCTCCAAGCTAGTAGATGGGTAGCTGCTGGAGTTTTTTCTGTCCCTTGTGATCTTGAGAGTTGGAGCTGTTGGGAAACATGATGACTGTAAGTGCTTGGGGAAAAAATGTAAAGAAAAACTTTGCTGGGCGATCTATATTTGTTTGATATGAATTCATTATTGTATAGTTTATTATTAGAGTTTAATACAAATGAGTGTTGGAAATGACATGGCTTGTATAAAGATACTTATCCCTGCGTGAATGAATGGAGCCTACATATTTTATAACTAAATATATATATATATATATTTAGATAGGCTTGTCTACATATTGTTTTCAGTTACTTTTTATTGCCATGAATATTTCTTATTGCTTTATTAAATAATTTGGCTGTCAGTGATGTCACTTGTACTAAACATATGAAAGCTGACTAGAGATCGCCTGTCCTGTGACAGCGGTGTCGGTGAATACCGAATTATATACAGTGGTACCTCTGTTCACGAGCGCTTCTGTTTGCGAAAAATTCGATTTGCGAACAGGAAGTTTGGCAAAATGTTGCTTCTGTTCGCGAACTCCACATCGGGTGACGAACACAACCTCAGCCATCTTCCCCGCTCTGACACGTGGTCGTGGCTTCCTCTAGTCGAGATCGCGGTCTGATCACAGTTTGATTCGGCTCGCGACCAGAATTGTGGAATGAATTAAGTTCGTAAACCGAGTACCACTGTACTTTAATGTTTGAATAATTCTCTTTGATGGCGGCGATGAGCCCGGAGGAATTCCCGCAAGGCCCGAGAAATACTTTATAGAGGATTTGATGGTCTTTACACTTTTTTTTTTTTTTTTTTTTCTTTGAGAGCGGAAAATGTAAAATGTGACGGAAAACAAAAGTACGCTGAATCATTTATCGTGCGGAAACCTAAGTGCCACTTAAAGGATTATTTTTCCACCCAAATCTAATATTTCAGGGTTTTGTAGATGCGGTGAGTTGAATCGTTCTCATGCTGCTTTTATCTTTTGAGGATTACATGATGAAAGGTTTATTTACGGACGGCCATCTCAATTTAGTAACATTTATAAAATATCTCCCTGAGTTGCTTGTAGCAATTTTCTAATCAGAAATGAAATGTATCTAAACTAAGGATAGAAGGGTGAGGGGTTAGAACCCCCCTTTTATTGCTGCCTGTGTCCATGTCGGGGAGATTTGGAGAGATTTTCTCTCACTTCCTGTTGTGGCTACAGGATAGGAAGGACAGGATATCTCCCCAATGGCACACAGATGGATTAAAATCTGGCAACTAACTATTCCCTCAAATCTTTGGCTTTAGATATAGTATAAAGCCCCACTCCGGGTTTTTTAAATGCCCTTGCAGTTTGGTCTTCCCATGCTGCCGGGTTTAAATGCTAGTTAAAGGCTATGTTCACCTTTTAGACCAGTGGAAGGAAAACTTCAGCCCTCTATCTATGGTGAAACTACAAATCGCATCATGTTTCTGCCTCTGGGAGTCATTCCTGTGGCTGTCAGAGTCTTGCAGTGCCTCATGGGACTTGCAGTTGCACCCCAGCTGGAGGACCAGAGTTTGCCCACCCCTGATCTAAAAGGTGAACTTAGCCTTTCAGGGTATAACATGAAACGGTGGTCACATCGGGACAGACTTCCGCCATGCTGTACCACTGTTCCCCTGAAACCGCTTCTCTTCGGCTTTCCATCTGGTGGTCGTACTCTGATGTCATCATGTACAATGCCGGACCAGCAATCCTGCATTGTACATGAGGATGGTGAGAGCTTGCCCACAACCTGGAGCATCACAAAGGAAAAGGAGAGTGGCAGAAGCCTGCCAAGGCAAGGAATTAGGTAAGTATTACATCATATTCTTCTACCTCTATATTTAACATACATTTAACCCTTGCAGGGAAGGGGGGGCATTGGAAGGTTTTTTGTAGGGATGCACCGATACCTGTTTTTCGGTATCGAGTACGAGTAGTGATATTTATCTTTCAGTACGCGCCGATATCAAGTACCAATACCTAAGACTGATACCTTCTGCTAGCATGGAGCCGGCTACCCGGCCAATCAGGAAGTCAGGTGGCATGTCATTACCTGCCATCCGGCTTCTTGATCGCCACGGAGGCCAGCTCCATGCTGTTTGGCCGACTCCAGGCTGATTGACCGCGAAGTCGGCGTCCCGGGCCAGTCAGCATCGATCCAGCCAAACAGCATGGAGCCAGTTTCCTAGTTTCCTGGCCAATCAAGAAGTTGGGCAGCGAGTCATTACTCGCCGCCTGGCTTCCTGATTGGCCTGAGAAGCAGTCTCCATGTTCCCTTGCGGCACTGCCGGTCAGAGGAAATCTCCCTTTGCCCGGAAGGTAATCGACGGTAAGTATCGGAGCATTGGAGAATCTCCCTCTGACCGGAAGGTAATCGGGGGTAAGTATCTGAGTGGGAACAAGTATTCGCCGAAATACTCGGTATCGGCACAGACACTAGTATCGATATTGGCGCATCCCTAGTTTTTGGTTTTCTTTTTACTTCTGAAAAATCTGAGTGCCAACGTGCCGGGGCCAACACAGGCCTTGATATTACAACTCTAGAAAAGGGCCTTGTGTGTCTTTAGAAGAAGATTACAAATATACACTGAGTGGCCAGATTATTGTGACCACCCCTATCAGTACTTCGTTGGGCCGCCTCGTGACTCCACGAGATGATGAAAGGTGATGCGAGGAATCTGACACTGCACTGTTGCCCTTCTGTTGTCTTGTACCAGTCTTGCCCCTCCCCCGTTCTGCCCTAACATTGACTAGTCGCTGACGGACACAATTCGCACGTTCAGACCCAGATTTTCATCTGACAGTCTGGTCTTTAAACACTTTAACAACACCTGTTCTTGAACATTTAACAAATTCTGCTGTTTTGCTGATACTCGCTCCATGGCTCCGAGCGCCAACAATCATCCCAAGCTCAAAGGCTGTTACATCGCGTTGTTTCCCCGTATCTTCAGAAACAAATCACTTCTACTGTCGTGGTAAACAACCTGCTTCGCTATTTATAATGGTCTGGCCCTCTAGCAACTTCAGCGCCAAATTATAGCTAATTTACCTACAAACGTCAGGTGGTCATAATAAACTGACCACTCAGTGTATATTTCATGTATAAATTTCCATCACAGTTTTAGAACAAAAAATATTGCTAATGATGAAATTGGGGCCGAATTGTTATGATTTATCAAGC